AGCGAAACTCCGTCTCAAAAAAAAAAAAGAAAAAGAAAAAAGAAAAGCAAAAAAATAAAAATAAAGTAGTTTCATAATTATTAAAAATCACTATTTTACATTGTAGAGAATAATAGAATAGGTATAGTGTTGAAAAAAAAACGGAAGCAGTCGCTTTTAGCTGTGTAATACTGCAGCAAATGTCATAGGAGACAGGCTTTGTTTACAATAGGAGATTAGTGGGGTTTCTGCTGATGGGGGGAACCAGTGGTTTTGGTGACTAGGTCCCAGCTTCTCAGGACAGCCCGAGGACACTGGAAGAGGTGCTGCCACCATGCTGTCCTCGGCTGTGGGTCACCGCCGGTGAGGCTGTCCTGCACTGCAGGTCTCAGGGGCGCAGGCTGAGCGGTGCCCCCCAAGGAGGCAGCAGCAGTGGGTGGAGGCGGCGGAGCAGACTGTCCCCCTCCTGGAAATGGAGTGATTTACATTTGGCATCTGTTTGGACCCAAGAGTGGGAATTGGCTTTGTAATTTTTTCTGTCATGCTGCCCTCAGAAAATTAAGCTGTTTACGGGACAGACTATGGAAGGTTAATGGCTCTTCTGGGAAAGGTCAAGTGGTCATTTTCAGGGAGGCTGTGCTGAATAATCAGAACCAGCAGAAGAATAAAGCATCAGATCACATCTGACTCCTCCTTCCGGATTCCCCCTTGCTTTCCAGCATCCAGGGTTTCCTCATTGTGGCTAGGACCTTCACTTCCTAAGTGGGGCTGCCTTGGCTGGGATCTACCAGCAGCAGGAGAAATACATCGCACCTCTAGTGTGCGGCGATTACCAGGTCTTTATATTAAAAAAAAAAAATTTTAAGTGCCTTTATTTGCTGTGTCTCTAAAAAATGTTTTCAACTAACAGTTGGCCTCAAGATGCCTTTTTGTTTTTCTGAATGAATAAGGAATAAAGAAAAATTCAGGGCACTGTAAAATCAAGCCCAGATTCAGTTTTTTAAAAAAGAAATATTAAAGTTTCTAATTTTAATTTCTGGAAGTTAGTGTTCTCCTTGGACGCTGAAGGTTAGCATAGCAAAGACAAGGTGCTGATTGTGTATTTTAAGTGGCACGTTCAGTTTTTTTAAATCCCATCCAGGACTAAATTTAAACATAAGAAAATCCAGGTTTCTTTCGCTTTAGAAGACGCTGCAGGAACGTGAGTCCAGCAGAAGTGGCGCCACATGGGTCCCCTTGGGAGGTTTCTCCAGCTGATGGGAGGTGCTTGCACCCGCCCACCCAGCCTGCACCTCCTGCAGCCGGCTCCAGGGCAGCTGAGGGACAAGGGTCTGGGCCCACCCAGAGCCCTCAGCTCCAAACAGAGCTGTCCCTGTCGCAGTGGGGTCATTTTGTTGATTTAAGATTTTCTTTTCTTGCTGGGTAAGTATTTCCTGTGTGGGGTATATTCTTTCCTCCATCCTGGATTACTTTCACACATCACTTCCTTAGGGAGGCCCTCCCTACCTACCTCGGTGCCCTCCTTCTCCTGGCACAGATGGGCAGGAGGGGACGAGGCTCATGGCCCCTGAGGGCCTGCAGAGGGCCTTGCCTGGGGTGGTGTGGCCACTATGGTTCTCAGTAGAGTGCTCAGTGGATTCCAAGGTGCTCCCTGGACCTGGACCTCTCCTTCACCTCCTTCTAGCTTAGATCTCAGCTTCCCGTGCATCTCCTCCTTCCCTGTCCCCAGCCTGTCCTCGCCCTGTACAAGCAGACTGCCCATCACCTGGGTCCTGCCCTTTAGAGTTTGTCCGTGGGCTTCCTTGTTTCCCCACCGACTGTGAGTCCCTGGGAGCAGGGCTGGGGCTGGGAGTGTCCCCGAGTCCTGCAATGGGCTGTGGAGCATCTGGGGTCGTTAATGCCGAGGGGACCAGGGTAACCTGGGCCAGTTGCAGCTCCACCCAGTGCAGGCCCCAGGACCTGGTGTCCCCTCGCCGTTTCCCAAGAACTCTGGAACCCCCTAAGGAAATCACTGTTGCAAAGTAGCTGATGGTCCAACTGGGAAAAAGGCAGTGCTTTTTTGAGGCCATATAAATGCAAAATATACATTTGAAGTCTGCGTTTAAGACAGGAACTTAGAGATTTCTAAGCCTGTTTTGGGGGTCATTCTCTGAAAGGGGGGGCATTTGCAGGCCCCCCTGTGCGAGCATGCACAGTGGCCCAGCTGGCACGGACGCTGGGCTGCGGCACCAGAGCAGAGCCTTGGCAGCTATGGGACAGGCCTGGGGTTCACGTGGAGAGTCCCAAGCCCTGTCATGACAGGAGATGCCCACACTTTGAACAAACAGACTCTGAGCTCCAAAGCCGGCTAACAGGGGTGTGGCACGGGACCAGCCCTGGCAGGGCCCAGGTTTGGCTGAAGCCCATGCCTGCAGCCAGCTTGCATTTAGCCAGGAAGCATCTGAGCAGGCAGTGGAGGACGCACAGGCCGAGCAGTCATCGCACAGGAGTGGCTTGTGCGCCGCGCAGGCTCCTGCAGCTTCAAGGTGTCAGGCGGGCAGAAACGGACAGGCAGGGTCCCTAGGCCCGGGGCAGCTCCGAGGAGCTCAGTTCTCACAGCCCAGGTGGGCACGGAACACATTTCAAGCCCCCGAATTGAACAGGGCTGTGTTCATGTTTCCCTTACCCCAGCTCATATGTCATTGCCTGCGTCTCAGCTGCGTGAACGGTTATTTATCGTCACGTTTGCCTACCTCATCTGCGCAGTTTCTGCGTGCAAGGTACCCAGTTAATAACTTTGCATGCGTTGTTTTGTTCAAGCTTCACAGCAATCTGTGAGATAGTATTGTTTATTGTTCATTTTGCCCATTTTACAGATGAGGAAACGGAGGCCCACAGGCATAAGCAACCCAAAGTCACCCCGTTAGAAGGTCTGCGCTGAAATCTGCATGTGCGCTCGGGTCCCTCTCGCTGTCTGCATACGTGCTTTCTCCACGCCTCCCAAATCCAGAGGGCATGGCAGGAGGAGAGGGAAATGGACGTGATGGTGAAGGGCAACACATTTTACTGATTCCAAGAATCAAGCCCCCTTGTGTATTCCTTGCGTCTTCAGAGCAGCGCAGGTTAAAGCACTTCTCCCCTCGTGGTAGTCAATTGACTTTGTTCAGCCAGAGCTGGGTCTGGCCCTCTGTGTGTCTGGATTGTAGGTGCCTTGAGGCTCAGTGTGATGTGATCGTGGGGTGGGCCAGGCTGGGCTGCAGCTGCTGTTTGAGAAAGGAATGCTCCCTCGCTCAGAGCCTGTCTCGACCTCCATGAGACAGGAGAAGAAATAGTTGTCTTCTCATAAAAGCATCTGGCGCCCGTGAAACCTGGCACCTCGCTTGACCTCCGGCTAATAGGGGATGATGCAGCAGGGTGCTGTGGAACTAATGGAGTTCTCTTCTTCAGCCAGCAATTAGGGGTTAATTATTAGCAATTGGAGGTTCACCACATGCTCTGTGGACCTGCTATTCCTTCCCAGGACACAGGTTACTTATCTTTCTCTGCATTAGCAACTGGAACCATCTGCCCTTGGAGTCCCCTGTTAATCATTGCAGCAGGGTCCCCACAAGGCTGACAGCAGGGGTGCGTTCTGTGTGACCCGTGGCGGCGTCCCTGCTCTGTGGTGCTGGCCCCCTGCAGTCATTCTCAGCGTGGCACCTGGCCCGTCCGTTAGACGCCCGCACTCAGCTCCCCGAGCTCCCTCTGCTCTCTCCTAGGCGTTACTACAAGGAGACCTCTGGCCTGATGCTGGACGTTGGTCCCTACATGAAGGCGCTTGAGGTATCGGTCCTGGTTCTGTCCCAAGCTCTCTTCAGACCCCAGGGCACCTGGGACATTTGGGGGGTCTTTTTTGAGAAGAGGCTGTGCGTAATTAACCTACGAATGGCCTTTTGTGTTTCCACGAAGGCCACCCTCCTATGGGGGCTCCCCTGGTCAGGTCCTCAGCTGTCCTCCTCCCTCCTCCTCCTCCTCC